TCACTTCTTTATATATTTCTTTTCTTTTTCTTTACTATATTCTTACTTTTCTTTCTTTTCTCTTTCTCTTTCTTTTTTCCTGTTTTTCTTTCTTTTCTGAACCTTCTAATCTTTCTTTTTATTCTTCTTTTTTTTTTAGCTTGTATTATTTTTTTACTGTTGTAATTATAATCTTTAATAAAATTACTAAAAAGAAAAAAGAAGTGTCAGCATAACATAAGATATACACCTTAGTAAATAGCACCAGACTGTTTTTGAACTCTGGATTTGAGTCTAATGATTGAACTGTATGATATAACTTCCGTAAAAAATGAAGCATTTGAATTATATGCCTGTGAAAACCCACATTCAAGTTTAGGTCATTTTCTCCAGAGATATTATTCAAGAATTAAATGCAAATGAATGATATAAGGCACATGGACATTCTTCAGTTTGAATTTCTAGTTTTATGGCTCCCAAAGTAGGCAGAGTCTTTGTTGGAATCTGTTCTTTGAACTACAATACGTCTGCTGTACAGTGAGCACATGGCAATGACTACTGTGGAGCAAAGGTTAATACATCAATGCACAGTGATGCTTTTTTCCCCATCACCTTGAGCTCTGTCAACCCCTTTGCTGTTTTGCTGGTTAGTCACCTGGTTGTTTATTAACTGAATACGTAAGCCCACCAATGTTCTGGAGCAGAAGTACATGATATTGTTGTTCCTTCAAAACTCCTTCCTAATCTACTTGCCATTTAACCATGGCTATAGCTGAACAAACTATGCTTAATTTCTTCCTTCTACTTGTGGAAACATTTTCCCAGCCTCACTTCTTCTCATCTCACCCATCCTGTTATTTCTGTGTAACTCATCACATTACATGTCTTCTTCCTCTGGTAACCCTTCCCGTTCCTAATAGTGAAATTTCATAAGATACAGTGATTTTGTGAGATTTGGCTTCTTGTGGGTGAAATGTTCTATGCTTATCTATTCTGTCACTAAGACCTGGCTTTGTGGAAAGTATTACTTATGCTGACAGAGATATACTGTAGCTCCCCTTCTTAAACACCATAACACACTACAAAGTTCACATAAAATATGGTAACCTTGATAGACACCCCACACACACAGCTGCAGTAGCAAATACAACCAGCAGCAGCAAGTACTTTTTGTTTATAGTATTGTCAGACATGTAATTTTGTAATGAAGGAGTCAGAAAATATAGTCAATAAACTTGAGGTATATAATGCTTAAATAATATATAATTTAGTACATCTGATTTCTTAAAGGATTCCATTGCTGTTCTTTAAAAGATAAATGCCTAAAACTTCTTACGCCTAAAAGTACGGTCCCTGACTACAGCACAAAGTGATTGTCCTCCTTTGTTTTAATATGAAAGTGCAAAAACTGTCATTCAATTTTTGGGAAAGAGAATAAATTACTCCCCTGATAAATTGTATTTTATTGTCTGAGAGACAATATTTCAAGGCTATTTATAATTGTCAGGTTGACAGTTACAAATCACAGGCATGTATTTATTTCCATACATGCAGAAAAGCACATAATTCACTAACATAAACAATTGTATGGACATAATCAGAGTTATCCCATGCATATAATCTAGTCGACAATATGCCTCACTGAATTTAGTGAAATTTTCTATCAGACAAATGTACATTTACCACATGGATGAGACCTTCCAACCCAGTTTCACATTACAATGGAAAATCTAAATAATCTTTAGTTTAAAAAATTATTTTTCCATCCAACCAATGTATAAAATTCTTCAGACATTTTGATTACCACAGAGCAGCTTTAAAAAAATTCCTATGTTCAATAAAATGTAAGAATAATGAAAAAAAATCTTGCTTTCTTTTTAAACAATTGAAAGACTGAAATACACAGTAGTTCAGAATAATCTCTTTGTAAACCATGTCACAATATAAAGCCAAAGGGAAGACAGAATACCCAGTTTCTTAGCCAAGAAATCATCAAACTGACTGAGGTGAAGTTCAAGAGCACTTTTTTATGGCAAAAATGAAAAAAAAAAAAACCAAATGAATATGGTCTAGTGATGATGCACAAAAATTAAAATATATTCCATGCACAATGGAGAAATGAGCTGCTGCTCTATAACTTTTTAATCATTTACTAAAAAACCTGACAGAAGCACTGCTTTATGCATTTGCTAAATATATGGATTCAGGCAAGTTTTGACATTTCAAATATGTGACTTTCTTTTTCTAGCCGAAAGATGGCTTTATGTCCAAAGCCACATTTTCTTTCCTCTAATAATATAAAGGAAATTACTTAAGAGCTGCTCAAGTTTTTCAAAACAGTTATATAGAACATTTTTGGTCCTTTGTTTTTCACTTTTCTTCCAAACTATACCTCTGTCTGGAGAATTTAGTAATGTTGCAGATGAGGAGGAGAGCCTCTTGTTAATGACTGGATCAACATGTTTCGAAAGGTTCATTGTTGAAACAGATCGCCTGTCTGGATCTAAAACAAATGGAAATAATGCTAATTGACAGCCCGCATGCAGTAATGTGACTTTCTAGTCCTCCAGAGGGAACCATAAATAGGAAGAGTTCTTTTTTTTTTAATGCTTTATGAGGATTAAAGAGAGATTTTCTTTTTAGGTGACTCAAAGATTGGGCACAAAATGATTTAGGCTGGAATCCTATAGTTATCCCGCGATAAGTCCAATTGAGGGCTTACTGCTAAGCAGATACATATAGGATTGCACATTTAATTTCAAATTGCAGCCAAACTCCTACTCAAACAGCAATGTTCTCTTTAATGAAATAAATGCAAATGAACATACAGTATAAGAAATAAAGTAATGAGATTTAAAGGACTATTTCACTGTACTGTAGAGAGATTGTAATAAAACAAAATCTTTTAAAAAGAACATTTGACTATTTGGTAACAAAGTCCTGTGAATTAGGATCCCTCAATATCACATGCCCTTGTATGTTCATAAGGAAAAGATGTAGAAACAAGGCAGATAATGAAAGAAAACCAGGGAATTTCAAAGTCAGGAAGTTTCAAACTTCTTTAAGTTCCTGCAAGATGATTTTCATGCATTTCTTGAGAAGATGCTTTAGGCAGAGTCTTGTGCAGCTCATGCATGTAATCTTACAGCCAGACCAAGAGTCTTTTATGTCCATTTTTAAAAATCTCACTCTTCTACAGATTTTTAATGGCACTGTTATAGTTATTTTGGTTGATGTTAGCCACCTTAAAGGCCATTGTGTGGAAAGGAATTTGATACATTTCAATAAAAATGTTTTCCCTATAGTATAACAACATTTAATACAACTGACATCTTAGCTTCTCCACCCTCGCACCTTCCAATTATGATGGGCAGCTTTGAGCTATTCTGGTTGGAAATATATGGGGTTGCAGGTCAAACACAGCTGGAGAACAAAAGGCCATGCTAGTTGGGAATTCTGAGAATTATTGCCCCAAGTCATCTGGAGAATGTCAGATTGTGAAAAAGCTGCTCCATTGATTGGCTACTTGGATAAATGTTATATAATCCCATTCACCACTTTTCAATTCATTTCTTGTAGCTTCGTGGGAGCACATTCATCTCTTCCTTATCTCCTGCATGATGTCCTTCAAGTTAGGGTTTCCACTGTAGTGAACACTGCACACAATGTAATTTTCCCAGTATTATTTCCTCTCCACCATGATGACTTTATTGTTTTTTTTAAAGGACAGCCCAGTTTTCAGCATGGATACACAGCAATGTGACCCAGCAGTCATTTGACATCCTTCTATTTCTTTTTCAAAACAACTTAAAGCCACTTTCCTCCATTTATTTTTAAAAAGAGAACAGGTGCATGAAGAGGGATGACACAAAAGTATTCAGAGCAAAGAAAGGAAACCATGAGAAGAACTAGGAAAGGTGCTGAGGCAGACATTTTCCAGAACTCTGTGTGCCACATGATCTGGAAACAGTGGAAAAGTTTCCTGAATGATAAGCAGTGCAAACCCTTTGCAGCATATATGGGGCAATACTGCAACAGGATTTTTTTGTTTTGTTTTGCTTTTCTTAAAATGCTGATGAAGTTTTTTTTAAAATGCAATGACAAATTGCGCCACTGAAAAATAAAGCTGGGGCAAAATCATGCTGAACATGTAATAACATTTTTCAAGAGTAATAAATGCATATTTTTAAAGAACGATGCAATAAAAGAAAACAAGTAACATAAAAAAACCCACCCAAAATAAGGTTTTTCTCTGTATCCAAAGGACTTTTGAAAACATTGTTTCTCAAGGTTAAAAATATTCCAAATAGGCAGCCTCTCTTCAAAATTATACAATGCATTTTGAGAAGTTGTGCCACATTCTTTAAGTCACCCAGTAATAAATTGGTAAACTTGAGGAAAACAGTGAGGGCTATCTATCAGCTCTAGTCTATGCAGTAAGTGTTAGACATGCACACAGTCTACGAAAAGATGGATTAGGTACTGGCGTACGGGTCCTATTTTGAGGAGATAACTACTTGTGATGAAATCAACAAATCATAGTGATTTATGTACCGAGTTTTCTAGCACCACCCAGAGTTTTGAAATGGTACTCCAAGCCTGCTAAATCGAGAAGGGTGAATGATGATTCAACAAAATAACCTAGGACAGAATGCAAGACAACGATTTTCAAAAGTAAAGAAAAACTTAAAAGGCAGCAGTCAAGTTACACAAAAAGAAGCAAAAATAACAGATAGAATATTGTTATGAAAAAGACAACTATTTGATCTGGTAGCAGTATCTAGCTCATTTTGGCTGATATAAAAAAAAGTTCAAATCTAGTTAGTATTCGAACAGAACATCAGGAAATCTAAAGTTTTCAGCTAGACTAGGAAGTTAAAAAAAAAAAAAAACAATGGCAAGCCACTTCGATATTGTTGCCAAAAGACTCCTAAATTGAGGTGTCCATGAAACTGCTAAAGATTGAGCTTGGCTTAAAGGAGGCTTTACCATTTTACTTATAATTTAAGTGCAATGATAAATGTTTTTGTCCCATAACAAAGGCAGTAATACTTGCTAGAGGATTTCCAAGGAAAGGAAATAAAGTATTAATAGACACACAATTTCTGCATAGCCCAGCTCCATCTGTAATAAGATTCTCCTTCTCCATCACCTGAGGAGGACCTGCCATAAATGACCAAGGCTTGATTGGGTGAAAATGGAGGAATTCCTCTGGGCTTTTTGATATTGAGGAAGAGGGTGAATAGTGTCCTTTTTTGCAGGACCTATGGAATGGAGGATCCTCAGTATTTAACAGCAGTGGAGGAAGGTGCTTATGGTTATGTTTTTAATGTAGTAAGCTACCTGTAGTGCAATGAGGAGGCAGCATACAAATTAATGTAATAAATAGATAATAAAATAAGTAATGGTATATATTGGATTAGGCTGCAGGTGCTTCAGCAGTGTTTCAGAAGAACTGCTTTGGACCTTGGGCAAATACAAACATGCATCTCTCCACTATTTATTAAAATAGCCTAAAGCTCACACAGAAACCTGAAAAAGGAGACTGGCTGCTTTAATGAATAGCAAAGGGGTGTAGTGTTTGTACAAGGTCCTACTGATTCTGAAATGTGCACAGACCTAATATTATCTATCTGTGCATGCACCTGTGTGTATGGATATGCCATGTTATATATTATTATATCATTTAAAAATAAACAAACAAACAAACAAATAAATAAATAAATAAATAAATAAGCTTAGGAAAAATACAGAAGTGGTAACCATAATTTAATTATTTATTTAATGTCTGCCAATCTCTCCAAAGACAACTTCAGCAGAGGAAGGAGAAGTCTACCTAAGCGCTTTAAATATTAATTAACAAGCGACGCTGACTACTGCATCCTCCTATCCATTCCCCTTCAACGGAGGCTTTCAAAGCTACAGCAAAATGTATCCTCAGTTTCATTGTTTTATGAGAAAACTTCTCTAAATATTTAGATTAAATCCATAAATTTAAAAAGCTTGGCTTAGACAAACAGAGCGCTGGCACATACACAAGGTCACGCAGAAACAGACAAAGCAAATCAAGTACAAATACAAATGAAATTAGAAAGGAGAGATCAGGTATCCAACTATTAGATCAGTTTCTCATTCTGGAACGTTAAGCATAAAAGGAGGAGGCACCACACACACCTGGAGACATACGTACTTAAAGTCTGAAATGCAATTCAGTATGCAAGGAAGTGTCTTCAGTTAAACAACACATATATTTATTAGCGCAAAGAAAGGGAGACAGATCGAGATTCCCAGCTTCCAATTTTACCTGCGTTATTAACGCTGCTGCTACGATGAAGTGTGCCTCCCCAGGACCACCTATTTTGCTTTTGTTTTGGTTTCTGGCTCCTCTCAATTGTGCGACGTACAACAGCTTCATGTCGTTCCTAATGAGATAACAAACAATTTCATTTGCCTGAACTGACATTGCCTTCATATTATTCATTTAATAATTTTAAAATTAAAAGTGCAATCAGTTGTATAAAATGTGTTGATCTTAAGGCAACCCAATGAGCGGGGGCACCAATGAATTCCTATATTTCCACTGTCCTTACTTGCCATGGCCCTTACTCTTTTTCTACCCAGCTGCAATGAGAAACACTCAGAAGGGAGACCTACAAGTGGGCACAATTCTGGTTCCCAAAAAAGGGTGAATGGGCTAACTTACATCGGCTTAATGGCCCAGTGATGGTTAGGCCGTATGCTATTGCATATTATTGTCTATTTAAGCAGCTATTCCTTAAGTCTTCATTCATCCCACATATAAATATTTTCCTTAGCCAGCACTGTGTCTCATTAATTCTTCCCCTTTTCCAAAATAGAATATGACCCCTTGCTGAATAATAGTCCAGGACAGATACTAGACTTGACTGGAACCCACTACTTGACCTGTTTTCACTGCTCCATACAGAACCTTATCGCCTCAAAGATCCCCTAAGGAAGCCCTCCTACCTTGTCCTCCTCTATTCGCTGCTTCCGTTTTTCTTCTACTGCAACTCGCCTTCTTTCTTCCTTTATCCTCTGCTCTTCTAATTTCTTTTTACGTTCCTCAAGATGTTTTTCATAATGTTGCCTTGCCCTCTCTTCTTTTTCTAGCCAAGCAGCTTCTCTCGCCACTAAAGAACATCAAAGGAAATTTCAAACATTTTTTGTCTTCTTCTATTGCATTAACATTTAACTATCAAAAGCCCACATTTAAAGAAGTTCATAGCATTTTAGTATTACAGCATTCTTAATTACCATTTCAGCAAGAATTATCACAATGTTTCTTGAAAAGAATGCATTATTAGCAAGCAAAAAATGGCTAGGATTTTTTTTCCCCTTTGTGTCAGTCTTGACTCCTGTCAACTACCTGGACAGGTCCATGCAGCTTTCATGGCAACATTTTTGGAAGTGGTTTGTCTTCTTTCTAAGGCTGAGAGAAAGTGATCCAGAGTCAACTGGTTGGCTTTCATGCCTCAGGCAGGACTGGAACTCACGTCTCCCCATTCCTAGACCAGCATCTTAGCCACTAAACCAAACTGGCCCTCTTGGAAGAATGTCCCTGTCACAAATTATTCAAAACCTGAATCTTGTACTCTGGTGCCTTATACAGATTGTGACCTACATTTGTATCTACATCTAAATCTCTGTCTATATAGCTATATATGTTTGTGTGTGTCTGCATGTAGGTTGTGTGTTCCTCTAATTCCCTTTGTCTAGATTTAATGACCTTATTGGGTCAGTTCTTCTCCAGTAATCTACAAGTAAACATGCCCTTGAGTTGACTTTGATTTCTGGTAACTACATGGACATATTCATGGCATTGATACAGAAATTATTTGCCAGTGCCGTCTTCTCCCAGTCTAGCTTCTGGCCCTGGCACTCCACTGTAGTCACTAATCTACATACTGAGGTTTACTTTCTGAGCCCAGATAAGATAGGTCAGGTACCAACATCTACTGGGGTAAGCGTTATTATTCTACTTCATAGTGACTGCAAGTGGTAAGCTATTTTTGCTTCCTGTTTATTGTGTTAGGTAGAACATTAGATATAAATTCCAAAGTTCTACCCAACTGCATCATCGGTTATACAAAAAAAGATCTAGTTTTTTAATTTTTTTTAAAAATTAAAAAGATATAACTTATAATTATAAAAAGCAACCAAATCGACAAAAGCCAGGACCTATTAATTTTGGCATCAATAGAAACCTTTTCAGTTCAGTGCATGTACTCATTCAGGCTGACCCTGCCAACAAGCTGAGCATGACATATTGTACAGCCAATATTTCTAGACCATCTTCTAATGCATTGCTGTGTAGAATATATATTACAATTTGGAGCTATCAAGGCAGGTGTTATAGCAACCATCTCACTCTCTAGCATCAGGCACAGTGCTCAAGTACTGCTGCAGTTTTTTTGGAAAGAAGAGAAACTGGACAAGCTAAATTGGTTTTGATTAGGGAAAAATTTCAGAGTGTGACCTTGTGCCTTGGGTAGGACTCTAGTTAAAATTAAAAGCAATTGATATAACTCATGTCTAAACTTCCATCATATCTCAGCAGCTTGGCAATAGGAGGAAAACTGTCACATAGCTTGATGGCAAATTATGGATTCTGCTTTGAAGGCCAAGAAAAGAAAATATTGAAAAAGAAACCCTTTTAACTCAGAATATTCCCGTACCTATTTGAAGGTGACAGGGGAGAATGCAACAGAGTATTCAACAGAGAGCTTCTCTAAAACAGATAAGTATACCTGAAATACTCAAATTATAATTCAACTATCAAGAAAATATATATAGGGGCAGGGGAGGACAGGACAGGACAGGGGAGGACAGGACAGGACAGGACAATGAAGGTGACTTCATTGCCACCTTGCAGGAATGTGATCATGAATTTGTGATATTCAGAGGAAGACCAGATGATTAGAGCCAGGCCTGCATACCAGACTTCACAAGAGCAAATTTTGATGAACTCTGAAGGAAGGTAAGTTGGATCCAATTTCTTGAAACCCTGAAGGAGAAAAGTGTCTGGGAAGGATGGGGAATTCTACAAAATGGGACACTGAATGTGTACTTGCAAGCAATTTTCACTAGAAGGAAAAACAGGAGAAATCTAAAAAGGCCAGCATGGATGCATGCAAAGGTCTCTAAAATGCTGAAGAGAACAAGGGACAGGGACAGGAAATGGAAGAATACAAAGAATGATACAAGGTAGTCTTCAGAAACATAGGAATTGCATCAGGAAGGCTAAAGCTCAAAATGAGTTGAAACTAGTGAGACCTATGACTGATATAAATCATTTTGGGACAAAGTATATAATTTTTATCACTTCTCAGCCAAAAACAGGCAGTTTGCCAAGGATGTGAAACAATGCATTTTGGCTCTAAGTTTAAAAAAACACTGAAAACACAGTGAGAAGGTTGGCACATGGAATACTTACTCTGTTGTAAGTGCTGAAATGGGACATGAAGAAAAAGCAATGCACGGTGCAAGGTTCAAGTAAAAAGACTGACATCTTGCAAGTTTGTGCATAATCTGGACAATATTTAACAGCTTTTCTGAGCTATTAGAGGTTTCATTGAATTCACAGAATTGAGATATAACAATAAAGCAGAAAACTTTAACATATAACAAATTCTCCTTTCTGAAGCTGGCCACAAGAGCCTAGGACAGAATGCTGAAAAGTGAATTAAGCTGTTCATTTCAAAGGAGTTAAAGTTCATGCACACAACATTTGCAATAAAAGTAAAATCGATCTGAGTTTGGCAGATTATAAAAGAAGCAAACTGCTAATAGTGCTAGCATCAAATATAAAGACCATAAAATAAGAGGAGGAAAAGCAAAGGCATATATAGAATTATTTAAAGCCCAGCATAAGAATGTACATTGTGTTATTACTCATGGGTAGAAATATTACTCATCTATAATTTCTACCTTGAAGAATAGGATATCACATTGGATTTCAGTGTGTCAAAGCTTCACCCATGGGGCAAAGACAAGTGTATTTCCCAACATCTACTTGTGACTGTAAGCAGATTCAGTGCCATGAAGATTATTCAGAAACCATTTTGCATTCCTCCCACGAATTAAACTGAATAGAAGAACAACAGTTTACAAAAGAAGATGACAGTTGAAAAGTCTCTTTTTATTCTTAAAACTGAATAGGCCTCCAATAAAACAGTTCAACTCTGTGTAAATTTCTGATTCCTTTTAACTTATAATTTGGCATTTGATTTCATAGAAAGAATACAGTACTGTATATATGTAGTCCTAGGCGTATACACCTTGGAACCTATTCTACCAGGAGCTGGAATTGGACATCAGCTTTGGAGATTTGGAACCCTCATATGATAAAGAAAAATGCAAGTCAGTGGTTGAAATAAGCAGCTACCTCTGTCACTGCTTGTTTTTAATAAGAATAAAAAGAGACTTTTCAACTGTCATCATCTTTTGTAAACTGTTGTTCTTCTATACCTCAAATTACAAAAATCAGATCCACTTTTATCAGTTTCTTCAAAGACTTGTTCTCTACCCTCTGAGAGAAAAGCTAGATTTAAATGAACGTAAGTTACATGAAGATTGGCTTTAGATTAACATAGGGGAAACTTCTTGATGACAATGGAATCAGTTACATAAGGAAGTTGTCTATTGATTATAACTTGTTTGAAGCCTTCAGGTATAGGTTGGATAGCTGGAGGTGCTAAAATGTCCAGTTGTCCTTCATAAAGCAGGAGGTTTGTCTAGCTATCTTAAAACAAACAAACAAAAAAAACCACTGCAGCCCTAGAGTTTTATTTTGATGTTACCTGATGTACTTTCAGGCATATTAATAGTTAATAACAAAGAGTCACTTTCCTCATTACTTATGCACAGCTTTAAAACATGTTCTATTTGCTCACTGCAGTTAATCTTGAATACCATGTTTTGTTTTTTTAATAGTAATTTTATTAAAAATTACAATTACAGTGATAAAAAACAAATACAAACTTAAAAAAACGAAAAAGAAAAAATAGAAGGCGCAGAAAAGAAAAAATAGCAAGAAAAATAGAAAAGAAAGAAAAAAATAAGAATATAGTAAAGGGAAAAAAAAAAGAAATATATAAAGAAATTGCGTCCCCTTCATCAGAACAAGTATAAATCATTTTAGTAACTTATCACCTTCTCTTAAATACAACAAATGATCCCTTCTTCTCATATCTCGTCTCTTATCTATAAATAAATCTTTAAAGCATCGTCATTTCAGTTCTGGTGTCAGCAAAAGTCCACTAAGGGTTACCAGAGATTATAACATATCTATTTTAACCTTGATCAAATAAACCAACTTTATACTCCTTCCTTTTACTTTTAACAATCTTGATCTTTAGTCCCTTCAAATTGTTGTAGAACTTGATTTCTTTTCATGTTTTCTTTGTCCCTTCTTACAAAATTCTTCAAAGGTTTAACAAGCCTCCTTTGTAAATCCAATATAGGAAAATTATCCAGGTGCCTCTCTTGGTTTATTATTTGTATATCCCTTTTAATTATTAAGACATCAGTCAGTTTCTTTTGTATGTCCAGTGTAACATCTTTTTCCATGTCATTCTTGTAGCTTGTCATTTTTAAATCCACCTTCAGATCAGTCTCAGTCTTGTCAGGTAAAAATTGTTCCTCTTCCATGACATCTTTAAACACAGTCTATCTATAGAGGCAGACACTCTTAAAATTAGCTTCTGGGTCCATTGTTCAAAAATATCCTTCAATATGTCCAATGTTAAAATATTTTGCTTCATTCTTTATTAGTAAATGGAATTTCAATATTCTTCTCTTTTTTGTGATCTTTAGTTCCTTCTGGTTCTCTAGTGTCCAACCTTCAAAGTCTCATCCTATCATCATCCTTATAATTCATTCCAAAATCTTATTTCAAATCCATCTGGACCATTAGTCTATTTGTAACTTTCCAAAATCAAAGTTTTAATCACCCATTTACTGTTTATTACCCCCCACTTTTTTTTAGTTGTACAAAATTAAAAGTCCTACGACTAATTAGTGGAAACTAATGATTAAATTGGTTAAATGACAGTTTACATATTGGTTTTCTTCAGATATTTTTCTGAACTTGTGAGGGCTAGAAATGTGTGGAAACCCAGGGCCAGGCATGCCTTTCCAGCTTCCTGAATCTCTGTGCATGCCTTTTGTCCCAGTTCTTGACCTAGCCATATTGAGCAGCAAGTTCATAACTCTTTGACTGATTACTAAATCCAATGAAATAGGACACAGGACTGCACTAATCCTTCTATTCATGAAGGCACAACTGAATCAAGAAAAACATACCCTTCTTCGGTTCAAAGGCATCCCTCAAAAGGTTTGGACTACACTACAAGAAAATGTTCACAAACTTGTTAAGGAGGAAGCCCTCCTTCAGGAATAACTGAAGTGGAGCAGTTAGCAATCAGAGAAATTGCTTTCACTGCTGTGCCCCCAATGTATGGAATTTTACTCTAGTTCCTTTTTCAGGTATCAAATATTTTAAACTAGTATAGAGACAGCAGCACTTGGCCAACTCATCTGGCTTAAAACTAAGCCAGGTCAGGCCTGGTTAATACTTGGATGGGAGACACTGAGGACGGTGAAGTTGAGAGAAGGTAATGGCAAACACTTCTGAATTGTTGCCAAGAAAATTACATGAACATGTCCATAAAGTCACCAAAGAGGAACTTGACTCAAAGGAGAGAGGCTGCCAACAGCCTTCTATAATGGCTACCTATCAGTATAGCTCTGCCCATCTTTTTTGAGTCCTGGACCGAAGCACACTAAACTTATAACAATGGGAAGAGGGCTTATTTACTATATGCCTGTGAGTCCTCTGATCTTCAAAGCACTTACAGCAACATATATAAATAGAAATCCCTTTGCATGCAGCATCTTTGCTATAGTTTAGCCATGTATTAAAGACATACTAATGCATCTTGGCATTTAAGAACCCATAATGTGCTGCCAGCATAATTACATCCATTGAATAATATATTTTATTACTGTACTTTATTAAATTTATTTTTTAACACTGAGCATAGCCTGGAGATGCATTACAAGGGCTGTATAAATATTTCAGGTAAGCAATCATCAAATAAATGAACAGATGCATGATAATATGACTAAAATCCATTCAATATACTAAAAGTTGAAAAGTTAAAACACATTGTAATAAACTAAAATATATTTTTAAAAATACTAGTCAGATTTTTAAAAGTTCACTGAATGTTTTATTACAAAAGAAATTCTAAGACAAACCTTTACTTTTAAGTGAGTAGCAAAGCATATCGTGAGAGGGAATAAAGTAAAAAAAAAAAATTAACAAATAGACAGCAAGAAAAATCTTGAGAAGGGCTTCTATAATTGGAGAACTCACAGTGAAAACAAGCTCCCTGTTATTTATTCTGTTCTTATCAAGCTAATATTCTGATTCTTAAGACACATGTTCTCTAAATATCTTCCCTAGATGTTCATGTTCCTCAGTACTGTAAGTGGCTTTGTATCTCAATTCTTTCACATGAATATTCTAAACAGCTCTTAGAAGCCAATCAAGATATCATTAATGTGAATCCCAAAGCATATGTCATCTTAGATCAAACTCAAACATGGGCATAAGAGAATGACTTGGGGTGGTGTGCTTTCTACCCTGATACATACAATCCTTACTAAAAGCATGACCTCTGCACAATATATTTTATGAGAAGAACTGTAGAATTCTGTACTTTGGAGGGGACATTTATGCCATTAAATCCAACCAATCCACTACTCAGTGCTGAAAATTACTGCCTATTTACGCTGTAGCAGATGTAAAGCCTCGCTGCTAAATGCAACTGTGGCATGGATTTCTATGATCCAGGCTTATAATTTGAAGAAATATATTCATACAAAAATATGCATATAATTCATTTAATTATACTTATATCAGCCCCACTCGGTAGACCAGACCATGAAATCAACTCCACAGGATGGTTAAAATTACTTTTATTGAAATTGGCTATAATAACAGAACATGAAAGTCTGATTGTGTTGTACCTCCTCCTCCTTCTTAGAGTTCAGTGAATTAGGGAGGTGTCTGTCTGAGCTGCTTCCAAATATTATCTGGACCTTCTGGACTTAAAAAATGCTTTAGTCCCTTTTGTCTAGACAACAGCACCGGCCTCTGTCAAGGCCATCTTCCTTATTCTCTACACCAATCATAACTCATTATGTTTAATGAAAATAGGTATCAAATGCAAGAATACTATCATCCATCCATCCATCCATCCATCCATCCATCCATCCATCTTATAAGGCTGCTCAACTCACAGTAATTTGGGGCATCATACAAGTTTAAAAACAAAATCCAAGACAACAAAAGAAGTAAAAGATGATAATAACCAGGGAGCTAACATGCTTCAACACATTAATACAATCTCACTCAAGGGACATATACTCCGCCTAACCCAGGACCTGGGAAAAAAGCCAGGTCTTCAAGACCCATTTAAAGGGCAGCAGTATTGGTATTACTTGAACCTCAGGGGGGATACAATCCAGAGGACAGTAGCATTTTGCTACTACAACCCATCAACTAGGAAGGATATAGTAAGTATGACTTACCTAAAATCTTTTCCTGTTCTTCTCTCCGTTCTCTGGCCAGTCGTTGTCTTTCATCAACTTTTAGTACTGGTGTACAATTGGTAAAATAATGTAAGATTTAGGCTCCAAATCTATTCATGAAAGGCAGCTATCCTGAACTTTATAGAACCTGCTTCTAAGCATAAATCCATAGAAGTATATTCTTAAGATCTCATATTGAAAAATGCAAGATTCTAAAACCAATTAAGAAATGACTTTATAACAAAATAAAAAGCACACAATATTTATTTAGCAAGTTGTGAAGACTCAATATTTTCACCATACTCAGAGCACTATATTAAAATGTGTAAATCAGTCTTCCCCAGCCATATATCTTCCAGGTGTGTTTGGATTACAACTCCCAGAATTTCCCCAAAACAGTGTTAGTCGGGAACTCAGAATTACATTTATGACACATCTGGGGGGCACCAAGTTGGAGAGGAAGGGTCTAAAAAAATAGCACTATTTAGGATATCCTTCATCATTTTAACCAGTTCCATAAATCTAGGAATCTTACATTAAAAATAAATACCCTTGCACAATTCTATATTGCTGAAGATTTCTAGAGACTTTTCCCTGAAATCTTCAATGCCTCCAGATATTAACAATCAAAAGGTACTGAGTTTCTATCCTATCTTTTTTCTTCTTTAATGTTCTTTTTTCCTTGGAAAGAAAAATATAGTGGAAAAAGCAATGAGAGATAATGGGAATATTTTAAATGTTTACAAGGTCATCGGGAGCTCTCATAAAATCCGTGAATGAGGCAAAGCAATTTCATATTAAAAGCTTCATCTGGAAGTACTCCACAGTATTCTCCATCCAGCATATTGAGATCCTTTCAGTGGTATGAACCCCAGTCTGCAGTTACAGAGTGCTCGTGCTGGGGAACCTCATGAGTGAGAGCTTGCTAAGTAGCTTGCATTAAAGTTAATTCACAACAAGCTGTAGAATCCTATCCATCACTATAACTCTTTAAAATACTGTACTTCTTATACTAAATACTATTCACTGATTTTTTTCCCACAGGATACATGAATTATTTTCCCCAAAACACTAGGCTCCGAACACATTATTTTTCAGAACTCACAGGCAATGGTATTTTTTCTTCTACTAGCACATGCAAGAGTTTTTGCAGGGATACAAATGATAGAGTAATTTGCCATTATACCCAGGTACCAGCAACATTAAGTGTACAGATGATCAATAGATGCCCTGTTACTGGCTATATAAAGTTGAAAACAATCAGTGAGGCGGACCCTTACGTTATCTTTTCTGTATTAAGAATTACGGTAACAAGTAAGCATGAAGAAAGTTGCAGGGAAAATAAAGTGCTAAAATATTTCAAACAGTAATATTTATTTTACCGTATTTACTATGTTTCTATATGACCCTTCATAAGAGCTATCCTGCAACAGTTTCCTGTATTATTTAAAACAAAACAATAGTAACATCCACAATAGATGGATTAAAAATAAGTGAATAATTTACATACAAAACATAGCATACTTTAAATGGAATTAAAACAGCAAAATTAAAAATTCAGGCAACGTTGGTGCTTTAAAGTATAACAAGCTTGTCACATTTCAATACAAGAGAAACACTGGAAAGAATGAAATTACTGTGATACCTGGCTTGGCTCCTGCAGGATTAGTGCCCTGCCCTAAAGGGGCAGAAGAGGGCCGGCGGGATGAGACAGCTTTTTTATCTGGTACCTTTGAGTTTTCAGATACTAAAATAGAGGGGAAAAAATAAATTAGTTAACTATATGATTACAATCTTTGTTTTTATTTGTACAATCACCCTGGGATAATCAAGGCCAAGCATTTATCTACATGTCTTAGGATAGGCCCAAAGGCAACGTACATCTTTCTAGACCAGTATTTCTCAACCTTGCTAAATTTAAGATGTGTAAAGACCACACATACCAAGGCTGAGAAACGCTGTTCTGGATATTGCTGGACTATAATTTCTAGCAACCCCAGTCAACATGGCCAGTGGCCCAGAAAGCTGGGAAGTGTGGTTCAGTAACACTGTGGGCAAATCACATGTTGTACAACTCACTCTTAAGAGTAAAATTCTGTTCCCAGTAATAGGAAAGAGCCGGAAAACAGATGAGGCGCATCTGCTAAAACGTAACTAGCCTTCTCTTGTCTGGGAGCAGGTGTCAGGGTTTCAGTAAACACATATGTACATCTAACATTGAGTTAAGCCCTTTGGGTGCTTAAGAAAATGCCATCTGTGGAATTAGGGGGTCTAACACAAGAGATATCTAACATATTCTGGGGCAGCGTTTCAGGGGGACTGCAAAGTCAAATAAATATTTTAAAATGGCCTAGTTTTAATTTCTAATACAGTAAATATTGATAGATATGACCCAATAAACCAAAGTTCTTTAGGGCCCTCGATAATTTTTAGGAATGCAAAGGGGTCTGGGGACCAAAATGTTTGAGAACTGCTGTTCTAGGGAAACATTCAGCACTATTCAAAGTATGCTGGAATGGGTAGCACCACTGTAAACATATCTCATTCATATTTACTTATTACAATAGCACTTTCCCAATCTTACGACCTCCTATTTTTATTGCACTATAATTTCCATGATTCTCCACTGGTATTATCAAAGGTAAAAAAATTGGCATATTATATATGGCAACCTTGCTTAAAATATAGCAATCCACTCTCACTGCCATTACATTAGCAGCCACGCTGTTCCATAAAAAGAAGATTGAGAATCATTCCATGCAGAAGAATGCCTACAGTTCTTTAAAACATGTTTATATTTTCAGGTCCCACACACTGCTTCAGTGATACAGATTGGTTATACATTGGAGGTGCAACTGACACAGGATATCATGCTTTTACAATCATAGTGGTATGTATTTATGCAAGGACATAAAGCTAAGATAGCCTCAATGACCTTGTCTGAACTCAGAAGCAAAGCAGGATAAACTCTGATTAATATTAGGATTGGGGCCGGGGTAACCTGGGAATTCCAGGGCTATTGGATAGACTGGGAACAACAAGCATCTTGGAAGAAAGATAACAGAAAAGCACTTTTGTAACCCTTCCAAGAAAACTTCATGGAAGTGTTGAACCATACTCAACTATACTGAAACTATACTTCTTATCTTTATTCCCCTCCAAAGTCCATATTTAATCACTTACATAAAACCAGGAGAAACTTGCAATTCACAGCATTTCTGAAACTAAAAGCTAGTAAGCTGCATTTATTTGCAGTTCCAAAGAAGGAACTTTAGAAAAGATAAGGCATGGCAAAGTGAGAATAGCTCCTGATGATAAATTGTTTGGAAATAATTCCTTTCCTAAGATCGTGTTTTAAAAAGAAGTAATTAACATGAATATTTCTTACTACAAATGGTCAAAGATTTTAATTATCTGCTTAAAGTCTTTTTAATATGTCAATATAATTATCTACCATTTAATTCTCACAATTCCTAATGATTTTCTCTGCAATGTACAGCTTTAAAAAAAAAATTTTTTTTTAATGTGTTCATGACCTATATCCTCAGTACATATGGGATGAACCTCATACAGTATTCCAGGGATTCTGGTCACAACTTCAGTAAGCTGAAGAGGTATTAACATCCAAACCCAAGTCCTCACAGTGGAAAGGCTTAACCAGTAGCGGAATGTCTGAAATTGGTCCAGTTGGACCATTCTACTGCATCATCTGGGGGTCACATCTACTGCTTCTGGTAGGTGCCCTCATTGCAATCTCAACTTTGCTTTCCATGAATGCAGGCCTCATATGGGGCGATCATATTTCTATTTCTTTATTTATAGTGTGTTCTTTAGCAACAACCTTCAGGAAAGCTAACCATATTTTTTAAAAAAGCAAATCTGCAACAACATATATAAAATAAGCAAATATTTAAATTAAAAAGTAGAAGGGAAAACAGTACTATAGCTTTAAATCTAACTCAGAGAAGATTTCAAAAGGCCTGGAAAAATAAATTCTATAATCATATTCTGGCACCAAAAAGACTTCTAAAAGTGCAACCCAAGTGAACCACCTGGAGATACTATTTCTTAGACTGGAAACTGCTATAATTATATGTACAGGGCTTGTTTTTGTAGTTTGACTTTTTAATTATTTTAATT